CACCAATTAAGGGCGAAAATTCAAGAAGACTTCAGAAATTTACATGCTGAAACTTCTTTACATGCTGGAGTTGGAGCTGGAGCTGTGCGGATGCATCCTCAGGACACTACTGCCTGTATCCCCACAGCTCCAGCTCCAGCATATCAAGAAGCCCTGTGCTCATAGCCAAGACAAAGGAAAAAAGGCCTTGAAAATGTTTCGCAGCTCCACTTGGCGGTTCTAATTTCCTGTATTATTGTAAATAAAAGGTTTCATTGACTCAGGGTTCTGCAGGCTGTGAAGGAAGCCTAGTGTCTTCTGTTTTGGGGAGGAGCCAGGAAGCCTCCTCATTAGACCAGAGGGCCAAGGGACAATGAATTATCTCCTTTGGCAGGAGTAGGAGCAAGACAGAATGGGGAAAGAAGTTCCACAGCCTTATAAATAAGCAGATCTCATGAGAACTCACTCACTATCAGGACAGCATCAAGGGGATGGTGCTTTGTCATTCGTGAAGGATCTACCTGCACCCTTTCATGACTAAATCTACACTCAGGCCCCACTTCTAACATTAGGGAATATAATTCCACATGAGTTTTGGTACGGACATAGAGACAAATTGTATTTTTTCTGTCTCTGATCCCACGAATCTTATGTCTTTCTCACATTGCAAAATACATTCATGCCTTGCCAGCAGCGGTCTTCCAAAGTCTTAACTCAGTCCAGCATTAACTCAAAGTAACAAAGTCCAAAGTCTCATCTGAGTCAAGGCTACAGTTTCTTTTGCCTATGAGCCTCTGAAATAAAAAGAAAGTTCACTGCTTCTAATGTACAATGATGGTACAGGCATGTGTAAGCTTTGCATATCCAAAAGGAAGACATTTTTCAGAATCTTTCTTATTTTTATCTGAGACCTCCTCAGCCTGGCCTTCACTGTTCATGTTTCTGTCAGCATTTTTTTGTCACAATCATTTAACCAGTCTCTAAGATGGTCCAAAAATATTCTCATCTATCTGTCTTCTTTTGAGCCCTCCAAACTCTCCCAACCTCTGCCCATTCCCTAGTTTCAAAGCTGCTTCCACATTTTTCAGGTTATCTTTAGAGCAATGCTCCAATCCTCATTTGTCATGTTCTGTATGATTTATTTTGAAAAAGAGGTTTAATTGGCTCCTGGTTCTACAGGGTGAATAGGAAGCACAGTGGCTTCTGCTTCTGGGAGGCCTCAGAAATCTTTCAGTCATCTTGGAAAGCAAAGAAAGAGTGAATTGTCACACACGGTAAGAGAAAAACATGGAGAGTAGGGAGGTGACATAGAGTTTTCAATGGCAAGATCTCATGCGAAGTCACTCCTGATTGTGAAGACAGTAGCAAGGGGATGGTGCTAAACCATCCATGAGAAATTTGCCCTCACGATTCAGTCACATCACACCAGGTTTCACCTTCAACATGAGGAAATATAATTCAACATGAGATCTGGTGGGGACACATATTCAAATTGCACCATCAGTCTCTGAGTGTAAAGACATCCACAGCAGGCTTTATCCAGCCAGCTTCTTTGAGACTCTTCACAGGGTTTGAGGTCTGCAGCATATACACTAAAACATTCATACTTCAAAAAGTAATAAAGTAAGTGGCATTATCAGTCTTCCAGAAGTTACAATGGTAATACAGATGTTCATAGTATGACTTAGTTACTGTTTGCTACGTCTATCACCATATTAGCTGTTTTCTACACAATTCTATATTCAGCTGAGTTTCCTTTGAGTACAAAACCACCTTGTAGTATCATGGATAGCTGGCACTAGCTCTTTAATAGTGTTATTTATTCTGCTGTAGAAAGTATCCTTGCACTGGAAAAAGTCCACAATCCAATACCTAGTCATTCAACACTATCAATTCCTGAGTGGCTTTTTGGAAAAAAAATAGTATCTCTTGTTGCAAGAAATGCTACATCTGTGATTTCAAGTCTCTCAATAGAATTGGATTGAAGGTGAATTTCAGCCAACGTGGCCAAAGAAATCCTGTTCCTGTGACCCTGACATCTTCAGCCTCTGCACCTGTTTCCCTTCTGCCACATGTTGCCTGCTCTCCGTGACTTTGGTAGGAGCCTCCTTGTGTATGTGGATGATGTCCAGGACGTTTACCTGGTGTCCCTGAGACAGCAGTAACAGGTCCATGACTGGGTCCAGGTCCTGCCTGGGCTGACTGGCAAAGAGCTCACTGATGGTGATGAAGGCATCTTTGGTGAAGTGGATGGGCTGATCCAGCTCTAGGGCCTGGCTGAGGCTGAAGAACTGGTCACCTCCTGATGCTCTTTTGTGAAACCTTCACTGTCATCTGCTTGCAGGTCAACTCGTTGGCTGTGAAGCTGAGCTGAGTGCCCTGTTGTCCATCTTCTTGGTGAAGCACTCAAAGTCATCAGTCTTACTCTCCCCCTCCTAAAGGTTGAGGGCCACCCTGAGGGTGGGCTCAGGGTCAGGAAGAAGTTGGCCCTCACCATCTCACTCTTCTCAGCCTTCCTCTTACCCTGTTTCCAGGCTGTCTCTTCAGTGCTGCTGGGGCACAGCAAGAAGTGATGGATACTGTGGCACTGTGCCTGCACCCAGAAGCTGGCCGTGTGGTTCATCCACCAGATTGGGCCCTTTCTGCACTTGGACTTGAAGTTCTCCTCAAGATGGCCTGTGGCACCCAAGAAGCCCGCAGTGCTGTAAGAGCCCTGATGCATGGACTGGGGCCCCAAAGGAGGCACATACCCTGCTCCTGAGCCTGCTGCTCATGCCCTCTATGTGGCTCCATTTATAGCATGGTTGTTGCACTGAGGCCTGTGCATGCCCGGCAAGGCCAAGCTGGCTCAAAGAGCAACCAACCACCTCTGCAAGGGTGTGCCAGGAGCAGGTGGACCAGCCACCAACCTCACTCACTGCCAGTCAGGCTAAATCAGTTATTCTGTCCTAGAGGTAGGGCCCAGTGCCATTTCTTTTCCCCAAGCCTAGCTCCATCAGCCATCAGGTGGTGGCCACTCAAGCTGTGGGAACCTAGCCACCTCTGCTTCCTTGAGTGGGTGAGATTGGTGGCTGGTGCACCTGCTCCAGGCACACCCTTACAGAGGTGGCTGGTTGCTCTTTGAGCCAGCTTGGCCTTGCCTGGCATGCACAGGCCCTTGGTAATGACACAGTGCTCTGAGTGAGACTGTCCTGTCTTGGGCCAAATTCTAAGTCTGGCCAGGGTCACAGAAGGCTGAGTCCCCTGGATGGCAATCCTGGATGCTGCTGCGGGGCCCATGGTGCCCCTTCCCTTTCAGGGCTCAGAATGAGACCTGACTGGGTTAGGACACTTTAGGTATAACACTTGTGCTCCAGGAAAGGTCGTCTGTCCCACAGGTTGTCTGAGATGTATGCTTGCTGCTGGCTGCCAGGGTTGTGAGGATGCCACGTTCACCCTTCCCTCCAGGGACGTCAAAGTGACCAGCTTCTCCTTTGATAATGACTTCCCAAGGCCCAGGAGTCTCTGGGGCTGCAAGGCAGCTGGCTGCATGCTGCCCTGGCTTCTTCCATGTTGTGCTGGTCACTACCCGCCAAGGAGGCTAAGATGCAGACCCCATGCAGGGCAGTTGGTCTCTGGACCTGCGACTTGGTTTTCAAGGAGCTGGACTTGGCCTGGTGTCAGGGCCCTGAGGAGGTTGTCCTGGGTGTCCTAAGGAGATGCAGAATGGAATTGCCGCTAGGATGAATGAGATGACTGGCAGCACAGAACAGGCACTCGGTGAGTGCTCAGGGATTACCCTCAGTAGTTGCCCAGAGGACAAAACCGCCCACCTGGTAGTGACTGTCCCCAGGCTAGGAGGAAGGAAAGACAGCGGGTCCCACTCACCTCAGCCTGATCAGTCAGCTGTGCTGAGATATGCCTCTCAGCAAGAAAATGGCCCTGCACGTCGACACTGACTGTGTTCCTCTAAATGCTCCACAACACAGAAGCGATGGGGACTCAGCAACAGTGATATCATGGAGTGACACAACCCATCACAACAGGAGCCTGCTTGGGTCAACAGGGCCCAGAGTCAGTGTCCTCTGTCCCCTGAACTGACATGTGTGTGCATGCAATCTGTTTGTGCATGTGTGTGTGTGTGTCTGTGTGTGCAGCTATGTGTGTTTGTGTTGCTTCTCTGACCAGGCCTAGCTGCTCCACTCATGGGTGCACCCAAGTCCTAATCACCGTCACCAGTGGGGCCCAGGGCCAGCATTACAGCCTCCACAGGTGCTCCCCAGTCTCTGCCCTCCCCACCCAGGGTGGTCCTGGGGATGCAGACAGAGGAGGGACACTGGGCAGAGAGGGCTGGCACCCACTCTAGGTGGAACGCAGGTCGTGTGTAACGTTCTAGGTCTGCCAAGTAGGCTGGATACAACATATCTTCTCACACTCTCTTTCCAGCAACCCTCTAGGGTTGACTCATCCTCCCTACAGATGGAGGCAAGCAGGCTCCACAGACAAACCCCCTGCCTGAGGTCACACAGTGGCCAACTGGCCAGGTTCCTACTGACCAAGTGCCCCTGATCAGGTCCCCGCTGACTCGGCTTCCAATGATTAGGTCACCAGGTCCCCACTGATGAGGCCTTCACTGAGAAGGCCACCACTAACCAGGTCCCTGCTGATCAGGTCCCAGCTGACTAGGTTCTGATGACCAGGTCATCTCTGACCACGGTCCACTGACCAGGCCCCTGAGCAGCGGTGCTCAAAGTCTCATTCCCATGTCCCCCTCAGCCCACAGACCCTCCCTCCCTGAATGTGTGCCCAAAGGTCAGGGCCTGGGGGCTTTCTTGAGATAAGACCTCTCCTCCAAGTTGCAGGCAGGGACAGTCAGCCTCAGGCTCCAGGTGCCCAGCTCCACACTCACCCCCCAAGACCCTCTGGGCCCATCTCAAAGGAGACAGTGAGGTGGCCGGGCACTGCCTGGACACATTATCTAGGCTATTCCTGAATGTCAGAGTGGGAGGAAGGGTGGGCATTTGGCAGATGAGACACCTGTGCTGCTGGGTCTCCCAGGGCCCTTCCCAGAGAGCCTCGATCTAGAGACAGCGCAGAGGCTGCAGGGAGACTAATCCAGAACCTTCGAGGCTGAGCCAGGGACCACATGAGGACTGTCCCCAGACAGCTAGAAGGCCCTTTGCTAGTTTCTTGGTACCTCAGTGGATGCAGCAGTGGTTCTTCTGTTGGGACCAGTGAGCACGTGCTGGGGAGGGCTTGCCTGTGCTTCCTCGCTGGCTCCACTTCTGGTTCTAAGAAAAATCACTCATCCCAGGGCTGGGGCAGAGAAAATACAAGATTAGCTTAGAGCATCTTGTGCCAGAAAGTTAAAAAGTGCTGACAGAGTAACGGGGACAGATCAAAAAGACATAAAGTCAGCTTGAAATGTCTACCACTGGCCTAATCTTGGGGAATTGGAGGACCAGAATCATGAGCTTTCCCTTCTCCCTTATTTATTGGTTTTGTTTCTCCATGTAGAACAAACGAGAAATAAGAAAATAATAAGAAAATAATCATCTGGCAACCATCATAGTAATAATTATTCAAACACAAGTCATCCATGAAATGCTAAATCTAGTGGGTTTTGAGAAGTAACCAGATATTTACAGAGCCTCAAAGTATCACCACACAAAATACTGTTGAACTACAAAAAGGAAATCGTAACATTCCCATGGACAAACCTGGCAGGTCCTCCTTAAGTCTCCTACTATATAGAGTAACAAAAAGTGTAAAATGCAAATAACCTGTCAATGACGTTTACTAAAGTATCAAGGATGACTTGGTCATTTGGCTGTTTAAACAGTTGACATTTGGGTAATTTGAGTATGTCTAACTCAGTCATACTGGTTTTCATTTGCAGGGTCCGCTTAAAACTTAAGGAGGCTAAAAAACATCATTTAAAATACTATGTAAATTTTTATCATACGTGTGATATGAAAATATTCTATTTTAGCAAAGATTGTGATGTTATATATTTTATGAGAAACAATTAAAATGTCATATAAACAGCCCAGTAATAAAGTTTTATGATCTTTTAAATCATAAAATTTTTCCTTACGGTTTTATGGTTTAGATTTTGTCTTCATTAGATGTGGTTTACCGGTGGGTCATAGAGAAGAAAGCAGGTGGGAGCAAGTGTCCATCATAGCAACAGCTGGAAAGATAAATAAAGAATCACGTTCTTTACCTAAAACATTTCAGTTAACTAAGTGTAAGTTTAAAAACTAAAGAGTTGAGAACTTTGTCAGAGTTAATAAGAATGAGAAATACGTATGTACAATTATTATACAAAATTACCATTAAATAATTTAAACATGGCATTAATTATGTTTGTGGTTAAATATCAGAGCTTTTTCATTCTTCATTCATGTACTGAACAGCCACTTGCTAAGGTACTAAAATCAGCACTGAAATTACAAGATGAAGACGGTATGGTCCACCTCTCAACAAACCTATGCTATAACCTAAAAAAAAAAAAAAAAAACAAAAAAAACCCAGACAGACAGGCAATGTCCATGTAGAGTCATAGACACTATGACAGGTATATAGCTGGGCACTACTGGAACACACAGAAGGGATACTAGTCCAGTTTTGTGTCAATATCATAGGCTTTCTGGTGGAGGAGATACGTAGGTTGATACCTGAAGGACAAGGATAGAGGGAAGAGGTGAAGGCAAAGAGCTTGTGGTGAGGAGGAGCCCTGCAGAGTTCTACTCCATACAGTTTGGTGCTAGAGCAAAAACCAGAGGGAAGTAAGTGGCAAGAGACAAGGCTGAATAACTTCACAAAGATCTTGTTGACCTGGGTGTTTTGATTTTATGGGGAAAAATTTGGAACTTTTCCTGAGAACAAAAGTAAGCCAAGGACAAAGTAAATGACAGATTTAAAATGTTACCATAAGCAGTCAAGGGACTGCTTATGAATGGTTATTGCTTAGCTAAGTATTTCTAGATGAGTCTGAGGTCTGTTGGCCTTCAATCTCTACCAAAACCCTGAGAAGCTGATGATGCCTCTGTTTTCTGTGAATCATTTCAGTGTGCTGGGTGATGGCTCCATGAGGATGGCAAAAGTGAAGAAAGTATACAGTCAGTAAAAAAGACACGCATAGGCTTCTCGGGAACTTTTAAAGCTGTGAAACATGATGAACTAATGGTGCATAAGTATTTGCTTCACGGTGAAAGTTTTTGTTTTCACATCTTTCATTAAATGTAAGAAAAAGATACTTAAAGTAGTATTGACCAACCCCAACAATGAAAAGAAATGCCATTTGCTATTTATGCTTTATGTCTGAAATAAACCTACATTTGATTAATAAATGTTGTCAGCATACTTCTTTTTCTTTATCTGTTTGTTGTACACGGTCCAGCTCCATCTAAAATAAGTTAAAAAATAATGTTTACGTTAAACAAGAGACATTATCAACAGAATAAGATATCACTTACAAAATGTGGCCTTTAGTATTTATAATGTCTAGACATAACTTGAAGTTTGCTTAAATAGAAACAGAATCATATAAATAAAGTAAAATTTCTACTTATTTTCAGTTTAGATAACAGAAAATGTATCTGTGTAATGCTGTTTAGATTTATCTGAGGAAAAATACGGTTAATATTGGTCTATTGCATATATGTAATTTTAGAAGGGTGGTGTTTTGTTAGCACAAAGGTTAAACAATTAAAGTTATATTTTGTAATGAATGCACTGCTTTAAAATTCGTAGTAAAATGCTGCCCTTGATAAAAGTTTAATACATTTTTTTACTTGAATAAATTTTTCCTTACATAGAAATTTCTGTTTTCTACTTATGGTAAATTTTTTTATAGTAAATCTTTCTTGTTACTTTTTTCTTTTTCTCATTTGTATTCTAAATTAAGGTGTTACCTGTGTAGGTTTCTTCCAAATGTATATTGAGGGATGTTGAGGTTTGGAGTATAATTGAACCCATTACACAGGCAGCTAGTGTAAGATCCAGAAAGTAGTTTTTCAACCCTGGCCCACTCTGTCCCTCCCCGTTCTTATTTCCCAGTGTCTACTGTTCCCACGTTTATGACAATATGCACCCAGTGTGTAGCTCCTACATATGAGTGAAACATCAGATATTTGGTTTCTGTTTCTGCATTAGTTTGCTTAGGATAGTGGATTCCATCTATATCCATGTTCTGCAAAGGACGTGATTTTGTTCTTTGTATGGCTCCATGGTATTCCATGGTATATGAAATTTTCTAATCTACCTGAATTTTCAATCTACCTTAGATGTACCTGGGTTGACTCCATGTTTTTGCTATTGTGAATAGTGCTGCAGTGAACATACATGTGCATGCATCTCTCTGTTACAATAATTTATTTTCCTTTAGGTATACCCAATCTAGTAATGGGGTTGCTGCATTCAATGGTCATTCTTAGTTCCTAATTTCCAAACTGCTCTCCATAGTAGCTGAACTAATTTACATTGCCACCAATAGTGTGTGTTTCCTTTTCTCCATAGCCTCCCCAACATGTGTTTTTTGTTTTGTTTTGTTTTTTTGACTTTTTAACAAAAGTCATTCTGACTGGTGTGAGATGGTGTCTCATTGATGTTTTGTTTGGCATTTCTCTGATGATTAGCAATGGTAAACATTTGTTAATCTGTTTGTTGGCCACTTATATGTGTTCTTTTGAGAAGTGTCTGTTCATGTCATTTGCCCATTTTTAATGAAGTTATTTATTTTGTGCTTGTTGATTTGTTTAGGTTGCTTATGGATTCTGGATAATAGGCCTTTTCTGTATGCATAGTTTGTGAGTATTTCTTTCCATTCCTTAGGCTGTCTGTTTAATCCCTTGACAGTTTCTCATGTTGTGCAGAAGCTCTTCAGCTTAATTAGATCACACTTGTCAATTTTTGTTATCTTTGCAATCGTATTTGAGGACTTAGCCATAAATTAATTCACAAGTGTGACGTCCAGAATAGTATTTCCTAGGTTTTATTCTAGGATTTTTATAGTCACTGGATATACTGTTATGCAAGAAAAGCACAAAGCTCTTTTTCTTTTTTTTCAAGATGGAGTCTCCCTTTGTCACCCAGGTTGTAGTGCAGTGGTGTGATCTCGGTGGCTCACTGCAACCTCTGTCTCCTAGGGTTCAAGTGATTCTCCTGCCTCAGTCTCCCAAGTAGCTGGCATTACACGTGCCTGCCACCATACCCAGCTAATTTTTGTATTTTCAGTAGAGATGAGGTTTTATCATGTTGGTCAGGCTGGTCTCAAACTCCTGACCTTAGGTGATCCGCCCCACCTCGGCCTCACAAAATGCTGGGATTATAGACGTGAACCCCTGTGCCTGGCCAAGCACAAAGCTTTTAACATAAAAATGGGAATGAACCTTTTAGAGTTTTATTTAATTTGTAAAATGCACTTATTTTGGATTCTATTAAATAATAAACATCCATGTGTGGTTAAGTGTTTCAATGCCAATCATTCACATGTGATTATGGGTGGGAAGAGTTGAGATGGTGCAATGAAACTTTAAAAGTGGTATGAGCTGGATGCAGTGGCTCCCACCTGTAATCCCAGCACTTTGGGAGGCCGAGGCTGGCAGATCACAAGGTCAGGAGTTCGAGACCAGCCTGGCTGATATGGTAAAATTCTGTCTCTAGTAAAAATACAAAAATTAGCCAGGCATGGTGGCAGGTGCCTGTAGTCTCAGCTACTCGGGAGGCTGAGGCAGGAGAATCACTTGAAACCAGGAGGCAAAGGTTGTAGAGAGCTGAGATTGTGCCATTACACTCCAGCCTGGGGACAGAGCAAGGCTCTGTCTCAAAAAAGAAAAAAAAAAAAAGCAGTATGAACCACAACCAAACTGCAATCAACTAGAGAGTGAGCCAAAGCATCTCAAAGTATACCTTCAGTTATTAGGCAATACCATGCAATTTCTAAAACCTAACTTAAATGCAGCTTTTAAAGAAATTTTAAATGTGTCAGTTCAGTCACATTTATTGAATAAAGTCAATAAACGGGTATCTCTTGAGAATGACAGCTCCAGGGAATTAAAAAATGTAAAGTTCCCATTTTCTTTCTGTGTTAACATGGCTAATTCACATGTATAAGTCAACAGAAAAACTCAATATTTCACCGAACTAAAAATAAGAATTACATTAGAGAAATGAAACCTAAAAAAGAAAAGGTAATATAACTAGCCTGTCAAGTAGTTCTCGCAGTTATTTGAAGTCTGGGGGTCTGAAGTAGGAATTCTTATGGATGTTTCAGGAATATATTTTCTGTTGCATTCTATACTATTAAGATTCTCAACATGAGGTGACTTTGGGCCTGGCCTTGTAGGAAGAGTGCTGAGACAAGATTTCATCCTCTCTTTCTCCATAAGGAGCTTGAACACTGCCATTTTCTTCTTCGATCTGGAAAGAAAGCAAAGACAAATACTTAGTATTTCCTTTTTTCTTTAATAATTTGGAATGACTTGCATTTCTTCTTAAAGTTGCCCTGAGAGTAAACCAAATTACCTACTAAATAGTGTTTTAACACCGAAGATGTGTGAGAGCATACCTGTTGTAAACAATTATAATTTAAAAATTGTTCTAAAGACGTACATGCATTTCTAAGGTGATTTCTGCTGAACTAGCAGTGCAAATAAAGTAGACAGTGAAGAGAAATGGCTGTCAGTGATGCTCGGCTCAACAGGTAACAGTTGCTGCCTTCTAAAATGGCTTTCCTTGTAAGATGCTGAAGATTCCATTAGAAATACTTGTATTTAAGGGGTAACTATCTGGGAAAGTGAATATGTTAATTTGCTTAACTATAAGAACCACTTCACTATAAATAATTATATCAAAACATCATGCTCTACTCCTTAAATAATGTGGATTAAGAAAATGAACACGGAAAAATAAAAAGCTAGAAATACTTGTGTTTAGTAAAACAGTTTCAGGTTTCACTCTTGTACATTTCACCCATTAACTGGGAACAATGAAGCATCTGGCACTGAGGAATAATTCAGAGCAACAGCTCCTAGGGGAGAACTAGATGGCTGGATCGGTGATCAAAAAGAACTAAAGCATCTCTGAAGTCAATTAGCCCCTAACACTGTGACCAAGGTCCTGTACCTGGGGGCTTGTTCTTTCTGCCTTCCACACACCCCTTCAGGCTCAACAAGGTGTTATTTTTCAACCACTTTGTGAATTACACTTCTTTTCATTCCTATAATAATTATTCCCTATTTCACAAGAATGCTTTCCTGTAACATCTTGAAAGTGTTACACAAATGGTCTGTCTTGAGGCACCCTCTGGTAATAATACTAGAGATCACAATCAAAAACAGTCCAGTGCCTCAGTGCCACTTTGGGTTTAGGTTGCCATCTACCAAAAAATAAGTTAAACTCATTAATATTTCTATTTAGGGAAATTCTGACAAGTAATTTTATAACAAGATCACTTTACTAATTACAAAGCTTCAAAAATACTTAGTGAAAAAAACTAATAGATCAGGTTAACTACATGAAACGTTTCAGGGGAAAAAAGACATACAGCAACCAAAAAAGAAAGGAAAGAAAGAAACTATCCTTGACTAACATTTTAAAGGTAAGATTAGTTACTAAGATTATTTTCCAAAATTACAATACGCAATTACCATTCATGTCCTACTGATCTCCTGAAGCCACCTCACTAAAAATTATGCTTTCAAAACAAATTAATGAGCTTAATTCATCTTCTATGAGTGTATGCTTTGACTTACTTCATGTATTTTTTCTGACATGGAATTGTTAGCTTTTAATGTTACTCCAAAGACTTCCTTATATTCTTCTAATTCAGTTATAACCTCTTCGTAAGCAGTTTTTATTTTGGAGAGTTTACATTTCGCATCTTTAATCTTGAGTTCCATCTCATTTTGTGAAGCTGTATTCTCCTTGTTTAGCTGCTCTAATTGTTTTTCATAATCTGCTTGTTTCTAAGACAAATGAAAAAATATACTTTTAAAACAATCATAACGTAATTTACATATATTTGTTGCTTTTCGAGTCAGTGATTCAAAGAGCAATTTTGAAGATGTTAAAAATGAGGCTGAAGCTTAAAATATTTATCAGCAACATCAACAAAACTAATAACTGAATCCAGATAAGTATAATTTATAAAAATTTGAAATCCTTATTAGGTTAGTATTAATGCAATCTGGTCATATTGAAAGTAATGGAATCCATTTATAATTTTAAAAATTGAACAATGAACAATGTAGCTTAAGAACAATTCAAAAGTACCACATAATTTCTAAATCACAATTTTCACTTATGCCAACTGGTCTTAATAATCAAATCACTCTATAGTGAGAATCATTATTCTGAAAGGTTAATTTTGTTATAATAATAATGGAAATTTAAATATTTAAAAGAAAAAACAGATGCCATTTTTTTTTCTCAGAACTCTACAAAGCAAATTGCTATAAGAGAGACAGAGGAAACATAATACATACATTTCCAAAACATAATTTGCAGTGAAATAAATGAAAGCACATTACAGATAAACTTACCTGATTTTAAAAACTAACCTGTAAATGGATTTCTTCTAAATTTTCTATTGCCTGCCTTGCCTTTTCTTGAATCTCCAATTTATATTCTTGTACTTCACCAACTTCTACCATATTTTCTTCCATATGTGTCTTACGATTTAATATTTCTTCTTCCAACATCTTTTTATCCTTCTCAAGTTTTTCACGTTTCTCTTGTACTTTTTTCATAGATAACAATTCCTGTTGAATAACTTGATTTTCTTTATCCAAATTGATACATTTTGAAGATACAGCTTCCTTCTCTGCTATAAGATCATCAAGCTGCATGAATAAAATAATATAGCTTAATAATGAAGTAGGCTGAGAATAATCTAATACAAAACCAATAGCAAATTTTCAAATACATTTACTTGCAATAAAATGTTATCTATAACGTAGTAGGTTCTTCAAATGTGAACCCTTAAATTCTCCAAATTTCAAGAACAAAGTCAAAGTAACTATGAGTCACAAAAATATACTCTTTACTATCATCATCTTTACAACAGAACTTTTGCAATTGAACTTACTTTTATTTTTCTGACAATATTTTTGTTCCTCCTTAAATGGCACTAAGTTATCTCTTAGTAAAGAGTGTCGCCTAGGCACAGTGGCTCAGCCTGTAATCCCAGCATTTTGGGAGGCCGAGGTGGGTGGATTGCCTGAGCTCTGGAGTTCGAGACCAGCCTAGCCAACACGGTGAATCCCTGTTTCTACTAAAAAATACAAAAAATTAGCCAAGCATGCCCGTGTGTGCCTGTAGTCCCAGCTCCTCAGGAGGCTGAGGCAGGAGAATTGCTTCAATACAGGAGGCGAAGGTTGCAGTGAGCTAAGATTGCGTTACTGCACTCTACTTGGGCAACAGAGCAAGATTCTGTCTCCAAAAAATAAAATAAAATAAAATAAAAAGCTGGGCACGGTGGCTCACACCTGTATTTGCAGCACTTTGAAAGGCCAAGGTGGGAGGATCACCTGAGGTCAGGAGTTCCAGACCAATCTGACCCATATGGTGAAACCTCGCCTCTGCTAAAAAAGTGTCTAGCCCCTCTCCCTCATCATTATTCCTCATAATTTGTCAAAAAAAAGTATCAGAGCTATCATATTGAGTTATTTAGACCAAAGTCAATAAATGGCTCTCAGAATAAAACTTTGAAAGTAATATAATACTCTATACTAGGCATGGTGGCTCTTGCCTGTAATCGCAGCACTGTAGGAGGCTGTGGCAGAAAGATCACTTCAGATAAAAAATTTGAGATCAGCCAGAGCAACATAGTGAGACCCCCATCTCTCCAAAAAATTGAAAAAAAAAAATAGCCAGGCATGGTGGCTTGTGCCTGTAGACCTGGCTTGTTAAGAGACTGAGGCAAAAGCATGACTTGTACCCAAAGTTTAGGTGTTCTGTGAATTATGATCACATCAACACACTTCTGCCTTGAAGACACACAAAGCCCATATCTCAAACAACAACAAAAAAACCCAAAAAAACAAAAAACCACACACACACACACACACACACACACACACACACACACACACTAATGAATCCTGTAAATAAGGATTCTGATGCCATAAGCCTTTCTTTAAACTGCAAATGTTTCATGCCAATTTGAATTGCATTTTAAGAGGTAATAATTCTTGGGGTAAAGGCCATAGAATAAAACACCCAGAAATAAATCCATATATTTACAGCCAACTGATTTTGGACTAAGGTGCCAAAAACATACATTAGGGAAAGGACACACTCTTCAAATGAATGGCACTGGGAAAACTGAATTATAACTTCCTATTGTTCTGGAAAATTTTACCTGACAAGAAACCGAAGCGGCACTCAGAGGACAGGAGGAACACACTTTACTATGCTGGTGGGCCCAGAAGGGTTCACACCCAAAAGTCTGGACCCCGGCTAAGAAGGGTACACAGTTTTTATAGGTGAAGGGGCAAGGGAAGTAACTCAGAACTTTAGACAATGCAGCAGGGTTTAGATGACACGGCAGTTTTCTTAAGGCTTTTCAGTTAGTAAGCAATACATTGAGGCACAGAAGCAGAAAGAAGCAGTTACTAACAAAAATAGGGTCAGTTTTAAAAATAGGGATGGTTGCTGGCAACGTGCTGACAAAATCCTGGGCAAAATTTCCACTTCACTATCGAACACCATGTAACAGAATAAACTCAGAATCAATTAAAGACTTAAATGGAAGGCCCCAAATCATCAAACTACTACAAGTAAACACAGGGAAAATGATTCAGGACATTAGTCTGAACAAAGATATTTATGGGTAAGACATCAGAAGCATAGGCAAAAAACAAATGATAGACAAATGGTACTACATTGAGCTAAAGAGCTTCTGCCCAGAAAACAACTGAGTGAAGAGAAAACCTATAGAATGGGAGAAAACATTGTCAAGCTAGTCATCTAATAAGAAACTAATAATCAAAATATACAAGAAACTCAAACACCCTAGCAGGAAAAAAATAATCTGAGTTCAAAATTGGGCAAAAAATCTGATTAGACATTTCTTTTCTGTTTTTTTTTTTTTTTTTTTTTAAGCAGAAATACAAATGGCCAATAATAAATACATTTAAAGATGCTCAGTATCACTAACCATCCAGGAGCTACAAATCAAACCTGCAATAATCTTGCTCCAGGTCTAATAAATGGCTATCATTGAAAAGACAAAAAATAACAAATGCTGTTGGTGGGAAGGTGAATTAGTGCAGCTGCTATAGAAAACAACATGAGGTTTTCTCAAAAAACTAATACTGGAACTGCCGAGGGATCCAGGAACCCCACTACTGGGTATTCAGGCAATAGGAAACAAGAAGTCAAAAGGATACCCGTATTGGCATGTGTATTGTAGCACTAGTCACCACAGCTAATGTATGAAATCAACCTACATGTCCATCAACAAAGTAATGGACAAAAATTGTGGTATACATACATTCAGCATATATAGAAATAAAATCTGTTATTTGTGGCCAATAGACATCAACAAACTAAGAATTGATAATCCAAAAATAAACCTGCACGTTTACAGTCAATTGATTTTATACAAGGTTAACAAAAGAACAAAATGGGAAAAGAATAGTCTTTTCAACAAATGGTGCTGGGAAAACTGGGCATCCATATGCAAAAAGAAATAAATAAAGTTGGACTCTCACCAACTTTATTTAACTTTATTTATTTTTAAAATAACCATATTTAAAAATTAACTCAAAACAGTTAAGCGTAACTGCTAAAACTACAAAACCCTCAGAAGGAAACATTGGCATAAATCTTTGTCTCTGCATTTGGCAGTGATTTCTTAGCTGTGACTCCAAAGGAAAAATGGATTCAATGGACTTCAAAATTGAAAACTTCTGTGCCTGAGAAGACAGTATCAAGAAGGCGAAAAGGCAAGCCACTGAGTAGAAGAAAATACTCAAAAAATCTATATCTGATAAAGGACTTATAGCTGCGATATATAAAGAACTCTTGCAATTCATAAATAACAAGATAACCCAATTTTAAAAATGGGCAAAGATTTTGAATAGATATTTCTGCGAAGAAGATATAAAGATGGATATAAGCACATTAATAGATGCTTAATGTAATTAGTCATTAGAAAAGTTTGAATCAAAACCACCGTGTGGTATCACTTCATACCACAGAATGAAATATTTCTTCAACAATAAAGAGAAAATAAGTGTTAGCAAAAATGTAAAGAAATTAAAATCCTTATACGATGCTGGCGGCAATGTAAAGTGGTGCAGCCTCTTTGGAAAACAAACCGGCAGCTCCTCAAAAGGTTAAGCATGAAGTTGCCATGTGACCCAGAAATTCCAGTCCTAAGTATATACTCAAGAAAAATACTAAGTATATACACAAGCACAAAAACTCGTACATAAACGTTTACAGCAGCATCATTAATAAGAGTCAAAAAGTGGAAAGAACCCAAAGGTCCATCGCCTGATGAATGGATAAATAAAATGTCTGATGTATACATACAATGGACTATTACTCAGCAATAAGAAGAGATTAAGTACTGATACTGATAGAGGCAGGACACAGCAAAATGCCTAGGCAGGTATGGAAGGGTCCCCAGAGACTCTCCAACCAACCCTGCAAGTGTTTACACCAGATGTTTTGTGCAGATAAGGGAACCTGCACAGGGTCTTGTCTGGACATGCCCGCAGTGGACTGGAAGCCTACATGCACTGGGGGAATGGGGTGGAGCCACCAGGAATTAACACTTTATGCAGGGGAGGAGCCTGGCCTCTTCAGCTCATGTGTGGGGACCCCGGTATTCAACTGTGACATGAAAACCTGTTCGCAGGACCCCTCTCTTTGCTGCGAGCTTTCCTTTTACTTAATAAATTCTGTCAATGTGTCTGTGTGCCCCATTTTTTTCTGATCATGAGAGAAGCACCCAGATTTAGCCGAACTAAGGAGGAAAAGCCCTGCATCAATACTTGCTACAACACAGATGCAGCATGAAAAATTATGCTAAGTGAAATATGCTAGTCACAGTAGACCGCTTGCTTTTTATTTCAGAGGCTTATAGGCAAATCTATACAAAGAAGGCAGGTGGTTCCCTAGGGCTGGGGGAGGAAGGGGAACTAGTGACGATGGCTAAATGATGTGGGGTTTCTTTTTAGGGTGACAAAAATGTTCTAAAATTGACTGTAATGATGATTGCATAACTCTCTGAAAATGCTAAAAGCCAATGAATTGTATATGTTAAATGAGTGAATTGCATGGTGTGTTTATTATTTCTCAATTAACCTGTTAGCTCCCCAAATTTATTTGGTACTAGTGATCTGGAGACATGTACTGCTTGGTTTCAGATCACTGGCCAGGGTTCAAGACGTATGAGGATCAACAGCATGTCCTTTTTATAGAAAAAATATGATATACATTTTAAAAACTATCCTTTTCCTTAGTATCAAGTTGGGAAAATTAAAGGAAAAAAAATCTTTCTTTCACTGCTTAAAGCACTGAGAGATTTATGTTGAGGAATAAGACCTTGTTTTCTTTTGCCCCAATTTCTATCTAAAGGGTCTGGAGAATCACACCCTTCAAACTATAAAATCTTATCAGATGGGTATTATTAACTCTTATAATGTGACTTATTTTCTAACCTGATTCTGGTACAGCATCACAGATAGCAGAAGCTGAAGGAAATCAAAATATTTTACCCCCAAATGGCTGCCACAGGGCCAAGAGATAAAAATGGCCCTATGAAGCTGTCTTCTGTGGGGGAAATTACATCTGTAAGAAGTCTTCATTAATGTAGCTAGATCTCTCCCCTTCTAGATCATTCCGGATCTAGGGAAGATTAACTAAGATTCTGATGTATTTAACATCTGAAAAGATATTTTTACCCTCTATTTTCTCCGAGGGCTGCCAGCTATGAGGCTCCATCTACATAATAAGAACCTTGGCCTCCATAACCACCTTATCTTAAGGCATTCCTTTCTACTAGTTTCAAGTTTTAGACGACAGCTTAACTTTCTTTACCAATTGTCACCTAAAGAATCCCTAAAACCCACCTATGATTTTTTAACCTCTCCTTTTTGATGGTCCACTTTCAGGCTAAACCAATGTATGCCTTTCATCATACTGATTTATGATTTTCCCTACAGTTTCTGTCCACTGGAAATGCATAACACCGAACTGTAATATGACAGTCTCACAAAACATTCTCAGGATCTCCTGAGATTGTGTAACCCAGGGCCACAGTCACCACATTGGCTCAGAATAAACCTTAAACATATTTTGGCAGAATCTGGGTTTTTCCATCATTAATATTTCCCCAAATTATGTGATTTTTAAGCTAAAACTGATGTAAAATGATGTGGTGTTGGAATATACATCATTCTATATAAAGATACATGCATTTATATGTTCATTGCAGCACTATTCAGAATAGTAAAGATATGGAATCAATCCAGATGTCCATCAGTGATAAGATGGGTTAAAGAAAATGTGATATACATACATCATAGATTACTATGGAGCCATAAAAATGAAGGAGATCATGCTCTTTGCAGAGACGTGGATGAACTTGAAGCTGTTATCCTCAGCAAACTAACCCAAAAACAAAAACTACATACTGAATATTCTCACTTACAAGTGGGGGAGCAGAATGATGAGAACACATGGACTCAGGGAAGGGAACAACAAACACTTGGGCCTGTTGGGGTCAGGAGGGAGAGCATCAAGATCAATAGCTAATGCATGTGAGGCTTAATATCTAGGTGATGGATTGATAGGTGCAGCAAACCATCATGGTAGACATTTACCTGTGTAACAAACCTGCACGTCTCGCACATGTAATCCAGACCTTAAGATAAAATAAAATTTGTTTAAACATTACCTTCTGTTTTATCTTCTTAATTAGAATATCTATTTTCAGTTGATCTGTTTCTAAGTCTCCATGGAAACTGAAGTCTTCATTTCCAAATACATTTAACATACTTATTGTCATTTCTAGGAGTTTCTTATATCTGCAGAAATGCACAGAATTAGGAAGTCAAGTATTTTTAAGAGTAAATATTTAATAATTGTTTAAACAGATATGTTACGGTGTATCAAAGAAGCAAATCTATCAACTACGATCCTCTCAGTTTCAAATGAACATAGTTTGAAAGCATTCTATATGAAACTATAATCTCAGATAAATAATATGAAGCACAATTTCTTTTTTGAGATGGAATTTTGCTCTTGTTGCCCAGGCTGAAGTGCAATGGCATGATCTTGGCTCACTGCAAACTCTACCTCCCAGGTTCAAGTGACTCTCCTGCCTCAGTCTTCCCAATAGCTGGGATTACAGGCATGCCCCACCATACCAGGCTAATTTTGTATTTTTAGTAGAGACGGGGTTTCACCCTGTTGGTCAGGCTGATTTCGAACTCCTGACCTCAAATGATCCATCCACCTGGGCCTCCCAAAGTACTGGGATTACAGGTGTCAGCCACCACACCTGGCCTAACCATACAGGTTTTATAAATGAACTATTCAGATCCATGTTGGTATGCTAACATAAAATAACCTACTACCAAATACAGGCCATAACCCAGAGATGAGTAACCAAGATAAAAAAATAAAACATATACATGTTTGAAAAAGACACAAAAAATACATTTTGATACCTGTTGGCCACAGTCTATAAGAAAAGTACACACAAAAAGCATCAATGGGATCATTCAATGTAGAAAAAGAGAAGTAAGCAAATATCTTTAATATTTGAGTTGAGGAGAAAAAGGAAACAGGCAGTTTTAGAAAAAAGGAAAGGTGCAGAGAGATGTGTGATGATTTAGACTTTGAAGAGATCTAGAGATCTTCGCTGACACAATGTCAGCAAAATGAAAGAGATACAAAACCATGTAGAGAAAGGCAATGACAGAAAAATGTTGATTAGAATCAGAAAACCAACTCAAGTGCTCAGTAAATAAATAGAAAAGTAACTGTGTTCAGGGCTTCAAAGACACATTCCATTTTTTTAAAAAAAATCTGTGATCAAAACACGAATGCTCACTTTACTCTTTTTCTTTAAGTTATATGTATAAACACACAATTTATTTCTGTAAAACAGAAGTTTAATAACATGTGTACTTCATGTATACAAAGGAGGTACCCATGTAAAATGGTTAAACTTCCATCATATGTTTTATATCTAAAAGGAAGAGAAGCTGAAACAAAATATAAGCTACATATCAAGATAAATTTTGATGTTAAAGAATGACACAAATAGGTCTTCTTTAAAGAATTTAAATGCAGCAGAGAAGGATTCTACAAAAGAAAGAAACAATGAACAGACATCAAAAATATCTTCAGAAATAAAAATTCAAACTAGATAATCAAGAGCATACTTGACATTATAGGTCCAAGGCTTTGTCCATACTGTTTTCAAACTCAGCAAAGAATAAGTGTAATATTGTGGCATTCAAAAAAAATTTAAGATTGTGTTGTTTCTTTTTTTCACATATTTTTTAATATAAATTTTTTCATCCCAACCTTGCCCCAGCAGCTCAGCCAACTCCTGCCCCCCGGCCCACATGCATATAATGTTGTGCTGTGAGTTTCTGAAATACATTTTAAAATATATTTCATTTAATTATGAAAATGCAGACATAAAATGAATTTGTATGTAGGTTTAGTCAAGTAAAATCAGAGTTAAATCAATTGATAAATGATTAAAATGTTCTACAGTAGGGAAACTTTACCCAGTTCTCTCTTCTTCTAATTCATTATTTTTCTTTCTTATTTGATCCACATTATGCTCCAGTGATGACATTAACTCAAAAAGTTTTCTTAATTCTTCCTTTTCTTCAGACTTGAAAAAAAAATGTTTAAAATTATTTTTGTAAAATCTAGAGACATTAGAGATAAAAAATATTATTTCTTGTAAGTTGATGAGTAATATGCACTTAGGCACGTGTATAAAGGGCATTTTTTAAACCTGATGCCAATAAGGACAGATTTCAAAAATAGTCAGTTTTCTTAGATAAAAATGATTCATACTTTCATCATTTTCTTTTCTGAAACTTAAACTGCCAAAAATGTTTGTTAAAAATGAGGGGTTTTACACATATAATACTACGTGTTAGTAAGAAAAAATAAGAGTAGTCATATTTACTTTTTAGTTTTTAAAGACGCTCTAGAAACATTGTCATTAATGGTTTGAGATACTTCAAGTTTTGTTAATTACATCTTACTCAGATGATTTACTTACTTAGAAAACTCTTATCTAGTTCCCATGGTATTTTTGATTCTCATCTGTCCTCAGGCTGAGCTAAATACTCTCATTCTAAGTATTCACCCATGGGTTTCAGTTCTTTCCTTTCTCTTAACCATTTCTCTTTAAATAACATTTATTTTTTCTCTATAATAAAAACACAACTTTTGTCTACTTTTTGTGGCTTTAATATCACCCTATTTCTCCCTTTCCATTGGACTCTATGACACATGGTCTCATCCAGAGATCTTTTTCCATCACTTATTTGTTTTTTTTATACTGAAATTTGATTTTTAATAATTCCAATAAAAAATGTCCAAGGGTCATGAAGTACTTTATCCTGCTTTACTCAGCACAGCTGTGAGCAGTGACCAAATGCTCTGTCTGCTCCTCTGACTCCACTTCATTTCCAAATGCAGCAGCCTCTGAAGTTCAGTCCTATCCCTTTCTATTCTGCTTTTTAAACTCTCTCAGGGCTCCTAAAATCTCAAAACTTTGACCCAGATTCCCTAAACTACATTTCCAGCTCTGACCTTTTTCTTGAGTCCTCTTCCTTCTGGTACACATATTATAGACAATATTCTCAACCACATGCTCATACATTGCTACTTGGTGCAGATTACTTTCAGAGATAATGAATCTTGTCTATTTTATGTTAATTCTTATTGATGTCCCTTTGAGTACAGTGCTATTTTCTAATCTTGAAGGGGGACAGTCTCACCTTTAGGATATTGACCAGTATACCTTGTCCTTTTTCGCTTGCTTTCCTTCTTTTTGACCACTATACTTTGTCCTTTTTTTCTTTTTCTTTTTTTTGAAAAGGAGTTGCACTCTGCCATCTAGGCTAAAGTATAGTGGTGCCACCTTGTCTCACTGCAACTTGCACCTATTGGGTTCAAGTGATTCTTCTGCCTCAGCCTCCCAAATAGCCAGGACTGCAGGTGCACCCTACCATGCCCAGCTAATTTTTGTATTTTTATTAGAGACAGGGTTTCACCATGTTTGCTAGGCTGTTCTTGAACTCCTGACCTCAGGGAATCCACCCACCTCATCCCCTCAAAGTGCTGGGATTACAGACGTGAGCCACTGCACCTAGCTCTTGTTTTCTTTTGTAATGGAAACTTTCCAAAGAGAATCAGATTATCAATTGTTTGCCTTCATTTTCTTTTGAAGAATTTCCTTTTCCATAGAGATATGGCATGATAAAAGTCTTGTTCTAAAGTTTCTTTCAGAGGGACACTTGACTACATCATTGGGAAGCTCCAGTCAGCAGAGGTCTCCCTTCTTCCCAGTCGAGATTCTTCATTTCAAAATGGTGGCCAACAAATGTCTTAATCCAGGTAGTCTCTTGCTTAGGAATTCATGAAATTAAGAACCTTCTGGAATAGTTAGGGGCTATTGATTGAGATGGTTTAAAGCTGTCCTTATTGAATGTTTTACTCCCAAGCAGACATCAAAGTGGTTAACAAGTCTATGCCTGATGTCTAACTCACTTATATGGGAATCTATACAAAACATTTTATTTATGAGATGAAGTCTTGCTGTGTTTAACCAGGCTGGAGTGCAGTGGCCTGCTCACTGCTCACTGCAGCCTTGATATATATACAGACACCGAGTTGTACATTTTAAATGGGTGAACTGTCTGACGTGTGAACTATCTCTCAGTGAAACTGTTTTTAAAATCCAATGGCAGGATCAAGATAATTTTCTCAAGTCTATTTTGGGTGTACATACTCTAGAGGATCTGAGTATATTTTACACCTTTACAGCATATTTTAAATGAAAGAAAAATGAAGGCAATGCCCAGCTTTTCAAGTAGTTTGTAAATTAACCGAAAACATGTACATTTCAAAGAACAGTATGATGGCCTTTCTGTACAAGTTAACCTAGAATCCATGAAATAAATAGGCACAGCTTCTGTGTCCATTCACGAAAGTGAAGAAATAAGACAACTTTCTAGAACATTCCATTAAACATTCTCCTCTGACTTAATCTGGCTTGCCTCACTAAGGCAATAAAGAAATTATCTAAAAATACTGCTTAACAGGAAAAAAAGTTAATTTTCTGTGAGGAATGATATATAATTCTCAACTTTCCCATGAGAAAATATTGTGAGAGAAAAGGTATGCAATTATTTTTCAAAATGGCAGAATAAAAGCCAGAGTTTAAGAAATAAGTATATTATCAAGATAATAAAACAGTAAACATTAATTATAATTAAAATACAAAATCAAGCTGACCACTGAAGTCAGTAACCTAAAACAGTATTATTCAACCAGCTACACGTTAACTGTTGACATGTTAAATTCCATACATACCTGATTTCCTACTTGAAACAATTTTTTCTTTGAAGCCCGTGTCTCATCCAAAGTAATGTGACAATGTGATGTACCTTCCAGCGGAGACTCTGGCACAGACACTTTTTTAAGGCTACCAGCCAGTTCTTGAAGTTGTCTTACAATCACCTGAAAAAACATGTTTGTTACTAATTTTATACATTTCCATATTATTAAATTATGTTCATAATATTTAACTCTAACGTACATACTTTGAAAATTACTATCACACACACAGACTCTCTTTTCCTCATATGTACACATTCTTGTTTATTACTGAATTCAGCGAGGAACACAGAAGGTGTTATGTTCCCACCAAATTGGTATTCTCTTATTTACGTGACAGATTGCTTCAGCCTGCTATTCATTCATCTTAGACCTTCAACTCAACCCGAGTTTCTCACATATTCAGTCACAGGTTCAAGTCCTTCCAACAGATTCCTATCTCAGGATAAATGTAAAATTCCAATGGCCTTCAAGGTCCTAGGTAACATGGCCTCTACCGCCCTCCCTGACCTCAGCTCCTACAGCTCTGTCACGTACTCACTTCATTGCCACTCTACATGCACTCGACCGCCCCTCATTAGTCTGAAAATGGGGATCCAATGTCAAACTCATAAATCACAGACAGCTGCAAGTATCTTTGTACTGGGAAGAATTATATCCAAATGATAGTCACTGAGACTTAAAATGTAAATTATGAGCTAATTATTAATAAAAATACTCAAACTAAGTTATAAATACCTACCAGCTGGAATATTAGATCAAATATGTTTTGCTAAAATTTACCACATTTGTTCCAAATTGTTTTTTCATGACAAGTAGATGTCTTTAAAATATTAAGCAGTCAGAAAAAATACATAATGTGAGACTGACCCATTTTGAGACTTAAGTCACCTTGACAGGAATCAAAACAAAGTTATACTAACTAAAATATATAAAAGAGCTACTGAAGGGAAAGCATCATAAGACACAGCAACACGCTTCAGTCCATCTGGGAAATCTAGAATTAAGTGTCAAAGAAGCTCACTTAATTGAATCTTAATTTCAAAATATTCATTTCAGGTACAAGCATTTCCACGTATCTGCTTCATTATGGTCTTAAAATGTGGCAACATAAAGACACTCAATTTATTATTTCAGCAGTATAAGACTACATACCTCATCAACATTACTCTGCATCTACTAAAATTTCATAGGTGACACAATGTCTTTACTCAAAGTAAAGCCTCTGTCAGCTCTACCTTTTATCTCCTGGAAACAAAGTATGTTTTCAAGCTAATGCAGAAAACAGATTTTTTTTTGGGGGGGAGGGTTGATTAAAAAAAGCTTTGTTGAAATATGATTTACATACTGTAAAATTTATCTGTTTTCACATACAGTTCAAAGATGTTTAGTAAAGGTACTGAGTCGTGCAACCATCTCTACAATCTAACTTTAGAACATTTCATCAGTCCAGGACAATCCCTCATGCCCATTAGCAGTCACTACCCATTTCCAGCCCCAGCCCTACAAAAACATTCATCTACTTTCTGTTCCTGCACATGTCTTTTCTGGATCTTTCATGTCACTGGAATTATACAGTACGATAAAAGCACTTCCATCTATTTACTTTTTAATATTGAACTAGGTTCAACATACAGCCAAAATGAAAAGTTTACATTTTCTTTCCAGAAGGTTAAAAATATTACTTTCTTCATACTTACTTTTATTTCTGCTTCTTCTTTTTCATACTGAAGCAGTTTTTCTTTTAAATAATTATATTCATTCATCAATTCTTTATTTTTCTCTTCTAGAAGAAGGCCTTCCTTTCCACTCTCAAGACAGCCTCCTTGAGTATTAATTACTATCATTTCATTGTTGCCTTCCTTACAAGCAGCCTCTAGTCGTTGTTCAAGCAAGAGATTTTCACGTTCTAGTTGACGTATTCTCTCCTCTACACCGTTCTGCTTTGCAGTGAACTGACTCTGTTTAGCTTCCTCATTTAGATGCATCTGCTCCATTTCCTTTATTCGATGCTGCTTTTGTCTTAGGTCCCTCTCTGCACTTTCTAAAGCCAATGTCTTTTCCCTGAGAGCATCTCTCGTCTCATGGAGCTTCTCTTTTAAGGTATTGCACTTCATCTGAGCTTTAGAAAATCGTCCTGTAAGCAGCTCATTCTTATCTTTTAGTTGAGAAATATTTGAAGTCATTATTTCTTGTACAGAAACCTCTTGTGCTTTCTGTAAGGCAACTTGTAGGTATTTTGTTTTCACCCTTTCCTTGTGCCCATTTACAGCAGCAGCCAGGATGGAATGGAGGGATGCACTTTCAGCTTCCAATCTGTCCTTGATGCGTTTTTCCTTTTCCAATTCTGAATTCAGCCTCGTATTCTTAGCTTTGAGTTCATTAAGCTGTTGACAGTACTGTGATATTGTTTTTGTTATCATTTCCTCATTGAGTCTTACGCTCTTTTGAAAGTTAGCATTTATTTCTTGGATACTTTTAATTTCCTGAATACGTTTCTTTTCCTTTCTGAGACTGGCATTTTTTATTGTGTATAATTTCCGTCTGAGTATGGCAGTATCTCTCTTCAACATGCAATTTTCATACATGACATCCTTCTTTTTTCCATAACTTTGAAAATCCTAAATAAAACAAAAGAAATGTTTAGCTAGCACTCAAGAAAATATCACGGTTACCTCTGAAGTGAAAGAACTACCTGTACTTTCAAGCAATTTAAAAGGTTGCTGGAAGTGGATATCCAACTGGAGAAAAAGTTGAAGCAAAACCTTCCCTTAGAGAGCATAAACTTCAGAAGGTTCAAAAATTTATCTGAAGTCAATGAACCCATAAAAGTAAAAAAAAAAAAAAAAAAAAAAAGCACATGCTAGAGAATTTTTAAGAATGTCAGAATGGTAAAAGCCTTACTCTGAATTACAACAAACTGAAAGCATGAAGTAAAATATTAACAAATTTGATTAAATTAACATATTGGAAAAAGAAAATTGCATTTATACTCCCATATCTAACCCATACACAACCGTATAGCAAGAGCATTATGTCTGTGTATTTAGACAGATAAAACTTCTCAAAGTTTTTAAAGTTGTGCTTCCCTGATAATATTCTATTGTGATTTGACACTTTTAACATTTTTAGTTATAAGAATTACATTCACTAAATCATAAATCTAGACATTGTACTAAGCACTTCTAAATGTATACATTGATAAACTGATTTAGTTATCAAGATTCTTTTAAAAAAAGAGAGGTTAAAAATATAAGCCAGCTGCAGGATTTTCCCCAGGGCTTCTGACTCTACTTCTAGTTCTCCACCAGATCACTGTTACTTCTGTGGTGTGAATATATCAACACAAAAACAGAGAAGCAAAAAGACGCAAACACAAAATGTGTCTTCTGTCTTTGTCACCTGGATTTTACATGAAATAGCCGGATTGAGAGAATGTGGCCTGTGGGGCTTCAGGAACAGAAAAGAAGCTTTTCCTTTTCTGCACTAAGTTATTTGTTTCCCCACTGCCTTTTACTTTTGGTTTTTCATCTGGATCCTGGGATATGAAAAAAGTGAAGGTGCCCACTGAAATAGAGGAACCACAATTTGCCACACAAGGAGCGGAGTGAAACTGCTGAGTTGCTACTGTAGAATCCTGGAAGATGAGATGTTCCCCAAATTTCACATTAAATTACCACAAAAGTTTATAGCTGAGAGATAGACAGTATAGTTGTCTACTCTAGCCCCATTATCTACTTCATGATGGAAGTAAAACCAAGAAATACTAAATAATTCACCCAAGGCTCCTAAGGTGGCATTACCTAGCATTTCATGGCACCAAAAGAAAAGACACAATTTAAATTATGTAAATTACCAGATAAATATATCAAGTTAGTCAGATAAAATTAAAAGTGTGACTTTGGCAAAGCAATTTGGTGCCTCAGAGTGTAGTGGGAGGGTTCAATTGCTTTTACTTTGAAAGAAGTAAAATCTCCTTTAGAATACAACATACAGAATTCAGCTCTCTACTATAAAATCAAATGCTAAATTTTTGGCTGAGGAGTTATGCTACTTATATGATCAAATCATACACGTGTCAAAATTTACCATATTTTATTAAATAATGAGTGGGACTCCATCTCAAAAAAAAGAAAAAAGATTTTTACCTCAGCATACCATAGATAGTGAACCCACACAGAGAATTTATGTTTCTAAAGATTACCTGAAGAGTAGGCAAATGCTAAGTTATTAGAAGCCCAAATGAACACCAATTAGAAAGAGAAGACAATGTCTACATTCCTCTAAGTGATATGTTATGTAATATGATAGTGTTATGTATCTAGGTAGATTATCTGCTTACATACAGCTCTAATGTATTCTAAGTTCCACTAGTGACAGTGGATTAAACAATTTTGGTAATATTTACTATTTATGCTAAAATAAGAAAGTTATTGTTTCTATCCTGACACCAAAGGTCCCATTCTGGAAGGCATGATTCTCTTAACAGGCAGTTGGGTTGATTTTATGACCCCATTCTCTCCCTAGACATAGACAATGAAGGCAACCAAAGATAAAAAAACAGAAGAAATCTTTAACCTCGGCACTGGTGACCGGCAACACAGAAGACCTGCCAAGTCTGAACCGCTGACAATGCTGACTCTAACATGAGTTGAACTCAGTGACCTACACTGTTCAATTGTTCCTGATTTCTCTTGCATAGTAATACAACTCAATTTTCTATGTTACCTTCTTTATCATGAAGAAGGTTTTAAAAATAAAAGAGCAAAGAAACTTCTGGAAAATTCTGGCCCCAATTCCAAGGGTAAAGATTGCTATGAGTTACTAGAGACTGAAAGAATATTTCAGATTTTATAACTGATTGAAATGTTGTCAAATTAAATATGAAATTATGATCTGTTGGATTCTAAAAGGATAGTCAAAAAGGTCACTTCATTTGGACTATGTCATGTTATTAAACCAATAGTAAACCAATATTAATTCAGAAAATTTAAATTTAAATTGTTATATACCTGTGGCTGTATATTTTCACTTCTCTCAAGCCTTTCTTGTGTTTCCTCTGAAGCCACTTTTAAGTCATGTTCTACTGAAAAATCCATATGTTTAGTTAAAATGAATGACTTAGAACAGTTAAAGACTATAACTTTTATAAAAATGGTTACATAATAATATATTCTTTTGTAAATTGGGAATTTACATGAAGCTTAATGTTTACTGGAATGTTTATGTCTTTAAGTAACACTTCTAATTATCTAAAACTTCAACAAACCACTTGAAGAGACACTAGATATCAGCAGGTTCAAGCCATGCAAAAATCTTAGGGTCACCCACAAATTGTTCCACCCAACATAAATAAACAAAAGTGCTGGAAACAAAAGTTTAAAACACAGTGAAAACATATAAAGTTAACATTTTACTATTCTCTACTTCATAATAGTATCTTCTGAACAACATGTTAAGCTAGTTGGTATTTACTAATATTTTCAAAATTATTGTTACCATTTGTATCTTTATTAGGATATACCCTGTTTTTAACTTCTGAAATGTTTTCCTCTACTATTCTGAAATATTTATTTTTATTATTGAAGACTTTGAATGTAGGCTGGGAATAGTAGCTCACATCTCAATCCCAGCACTCTGGAAGGTCCGGGAGGGATCCCAGCACTCTGGAAGGCCCAGGAGGGATCCCAGCACTCTGGAAGGCCCAGGAGGGATCCCAGCACTTTGGAAGGCCCAGGAGGGATCCCAGCACTCGGGAAGGTCCGGGAGGGATCCCAGCACTTTGGAAGGCCCAGGAGGGAGAATTACTTGAGGCTGAGGGTTTAAGACAAGCCTGGAGATTATAGTGAGTCAGTTTCCCTGACTCTACGGAGAATTTGCCACGCATGGTGGTGTGTGCCTGTAGTCCCAGCTACTCAAAAGGGCGAGGTGAGAGGATTGCTTAAGCGCAGGAGTTTGAGTTTGCAGTGAGTCTCGATCATGCTATTGCATGCCACCCTTGGTGGCAGAGTAAGAACCTGTCTCCAAAAACAGAAAAAGAAAAAGGCTCAGAATGCTATGTCAAGTCCTCCTCAAATCTGGCTGTCTTTGTCCACATACACAGGTGTCTCCTTCCTTGGGGCTCCCTTCGTACATCGTCAATTTTTCTAGTGTCACTCCACCACCTGTGAACAGCATGTCATGCCCTTACATGTCTATCCTCTTTGCCGCTAGACTGTAGCAATCATCTTTCCATAAACAGCCCTTATTTTACTAAAGATTTATTGGGTTCCTGCTGAGTGGTAAACACTGGGGTTTAAAGAATGGAAATAAAGGCCGTTGGAGATAGCTTTTCTAGAGATCACGCCTGAGCCCGAGATGAGACTTAGAGAGTGAGGTTCACTAGATTAAAAGAGGCAGAGGGCAGGAAAGGTAGAGAATGCCAGGCAGTGGCAAGAGAGCCTGGCAAGAGTGGCAAGAAGCCTCCCAGAGCGTATGCATTTGTCTGCATCAGCGGGATGGTGACGGAGGCATTACCAGAAGCTCAGTAATGCCAGATAAAAGGGCAGACAGAGAAAAGGCTGCAGATGGAGATTTGGGCAGAAGCCAGTTCCTGAAAGCCTTGTATAAACCAACTATGATTGTCATTTCTTAAATTAAAAAGCAAAAACAACAAATTTAAAAAGCATAATTCCGAAACAAAAGACCAACATTGTATTTTATCTTATGTTATTTGATTTGATTTTTATTAGTGATGGGGTCTCGCTCTGCCACCCAGGCTCCAGCGTAATGTTGCTATCACAGCTAACTGCAGCCTCAAACTTCTAGGCTCAAGCAACTCTCCTGCTTCAGCCTCTCAAGTAGCTGGGATTAAGGTGCAGAACACCACACCCAGCTACACATTCTAAAAAAAAGTAGACACGGGGTTGCCCAGGCTGGTGGACCTTCTGGCCTCAAGGGATCCTTCTATCTCAGCCTCCAACACTGCTGGTATTACAGGCAGGAGCCACCATGCCCAGCAACACCAATATTTTCAAATAAATCAACTGCAGCTCCATCATTTTATTGTATCATGCATGGATGGGTGAAAATCTTGTAATAGGCTCATGTACTCCATGGATTTGTGACAAGGAAACTATAGCATTAACTACAGCTGAAGCTTCTCTTGTCTCTGGCTCTTTACATAATTAAGAGTATAGACACTCAAGTGTCTTAGGGTTTGTACCTTCTTTTCCATTTTTTGAAATGTGTAGGCTTTGTAGCTGTCAAACATGCAAGCTTGTTAGATATTCCTTCTGGAAAACATCATCCTTCCACCTCCTTACCTGGCAGAGTTTTACGCACTCTGCATGCTTACCCTAAATCCCACACACTTTTTAGAAGTTTGCACTCGTCAGCACAAATTTAAAAGTGCATGGAATCTAATAAACATAATAAATACCTAGTAAATAATAACTATATGCTCAGGTGACATCTGTCCTCCACCTGTCCTCTATATAAGGGTCAGCAAACTAGAGTCCACAGGCCAAATCCTACCTACCATATTTTTTTTCCAATAAAGTTTTATGAGAGTACAGTCATGCCTATTCACTGACATATTACCTATAACTGCTTTCACCCTACAATGGCAGGATTGAGTAGCTACAAGAGATCACATGGCCTTCAGCTGCTGAAATCATTTGAGAGACACAGAGAGAGAGACTGCATTGCCTAAAATATTTCCTATTTAGCCCTTTACAGAAGCAGCTTGCCAATTTCTGTTTTATACCATGAACAGAACACCCTAATTCTCCAATCTAATGCCTCCCCTGCTCACAATTTTCCAATGAAATTCTAGAGCAAACACTGCTGGCTCCCTACCCGAGAGCAGTTCTTTATTGTTTCTTGCTGGAGAAACACAAATCTCTTTGGATATTTATTATCCCAATACCCCTCCCCAGCTTCAAAAGAGAAATGATTATTCTAAGCTCATCGCATCATCACATTTGCTTTTCCAGTGCCTGGTTCAGGGATGAGCATGTGGTGTGACCCAGCCCATAGGATGTTAAAGGAAGCCCCCTGCATGCTTCTGAGTTTTCTCCCAAGACACGTGAAGAAAAGCATTCTACCCGAGAAGACTCCCCTGGCATACAGGATAAGATCTACTCATTTCTATACATTAAAAAGCCTTTTATTCAACTTGTTTCTAGACACAGGTAAAACAACAACAAAGTCTTCCTAAGCTTGCCTTCACTGGCACATAATGAACATAATAAATAATAACTATAAGCTAGTTTTACCCCATTCCCAACCACACCCATATTAGACATTTTTGCACTGCTAAATTTGAACTGCTCATAAACTCTGTAAATGCAGGTGTCCCCCCTGTTGAACTTGCTCCTCTTTTTTTAAAACTTTCATTCTTCGTGGCTGCTGCTTCCATCAGACCTGCAAGCTTGTTAGATATTCCTTCTGCCAAGCATCATCCCTCTGCCTCCTTACCTGGCAAAGTTCCACTCACTCTGTACGCCTACTCTAAATCCTACCCGCATTTTAGAAGCCAGCATTCATCACCACAAATGTAAAAGTGCCTGGTATGTACTGAACATAATACATTCATATTAAATAATAACTGTAAACTCCCAGCTGACGTTGGCTGCACAGTAAGTGCTACATAAGGTAGCAAATAAAATAAATGTTCAGTGGTAATAACAACCTCCTAACTGTATTTTTTAAATGTATTTTGTAACATTGGAAAAAATGTTTAGTCCACAAAAGACACATGATTGATAGTTATCTTTTAAGTGGACAAGAATGAATTAAATTATTTCCTTAAAATTCTGTTGAAAACACACAAAAATTAAAAGTCATCTGTATTCTATTATGAGCACCTTAAAGACAAAAACTATGTCAATTCCATCTTTGTCTCCTGCAATTTGCCAAACCTAACTTACAGGTGTTGTTTGATAAATACGTACTAAACTTATGGTGTCTTCATACAGTTCAGATTGTACAATGCATTAGGTGTTATATTTTTGTTATTGTGAAATATTTTTATAATTTTATACATTTTTGAACCTAGAGTTTGGCTATTGGAATATTTCTTATTATCATCTTTTGCCTAATGATAATAGAGTCTCTCTCTCTCTCTCTCTCTTTTAGATAGAGTCTTGCTCTGTCGCCCAGGCTAGAGTACAGTGGCACAATCTCTGCTCACTGCAATCTCCACCTCTCAGATTCAAGCAATTCTCCTGCCTCAGCCTCCTGAGTAGTTGGGATTACAGGTGTCCGCCCCCATGCCTGGCTAATTTTTGTAATTTTAGTAGAGATGGAGTTTTACCATGTTGGCCCATCTGGCCTCAAATTCCTGACTTCAAGTTATCCACCTGCCTGGGCTTCCCAAAGTGCTGGGATTACAGGCATGAGCCACTGCGCCCAGCCAGTAACAGAGTATCTTGTTCCAACAAAGTTACTATTATTATGATAATTAGCCAGCACATTAAAAAAACATGCTTGTTCTAAGATGTGAATATATCTCATGAGGTTCCAACTGATGGAGAATGAAGTAAAAAATAGCCCCTGTTTGTGTAAGAATATGTAATATAACTTCTGCTTCTTGGAAAGCAATTACTTTTCTGTCTTCTGCATTCAATAGGTATCTTCAAAAATAATCTCCTATTTGTATGGGTGCACACTGGCTTAGTTTTATGGTTCTTATTGCCATTTGTTTATGATATCAGAAAGAGATTGTTGAGTTCCCAGTTCTAAAGATAGGTACTTTCTTAGTGACACAAATTCCTGTGTAATACAGTTGACCCTTGAACAACAAGAGTTTGAACTGCAGGGATCCACTTAGATGCACAGTTTTCTTCTGCCTCTGCAACCCAGAGACAGCAAAACCAGTCTTTTTCCTTCCTCTTTAGCCAAATCAACCTGAAGATGATGAAGATGAAGACCTTTGGGAGAATTCACTTATGCTTTATGAATAGTAAGTGTATCTTTTTCTTTTCTATGATTTTCTTAACAGCTTCATTTCTCCATCTTACTTTATTGTAAGAACATAGTATATAATACTGCAACACATACCAAATATGTGTTCATCGGCTGTTTATGTTATCAATAAGACTTCCACTAACTGGCAGAGCACTTGTCATTCAGAAGTTTGTAGGGAGTAAAAATTATACTCAGATTTTCAACTGCACAGGGCTTACAGTCCCTAACCCCCACCTTATTCAAGAATCAACTGTAATTAACATTTATTTACTAAATGCAAACCATTTATTATAAAAGTTAAATAGAAGATCTATTTGCATGACAAGTCCAATTTGTAATAATTTGATTAGAGAGAAAAATACACTAATTAAAAATCTAATTTCTTATTTATATTAATACAAAAATATCATGTAGAATTTCAATGATCATAAGTGAGTAAATAAATTTTTAAAGACAATACTGTTTTGAGATTATGAATGAGCTACAACAAACTTATTAAATTACTCTGAATTCTAAAGAAATTAAATTTTAAAAATTAATTTATATGTTTAAACTGCTCTTTTATGATTAAAACTATATAATCTTGCTTTATTCTTGCTTATTTTTTATTTTTGGAGACAGAGTCTCACTCTTTTTTCTAGGCTGGAGTGCAGAGGTGCCAATACAGCTATTGAAAACTCCACCTTCTGCAATCAAGGGATTCTCCTGCCTCAGCCTCCCGAGGAGCTAGGATTACAGGTGCCTGCCACCATGCCCGGCTAATTTTTGTATTTTTATTAGCCACAGCATTTCCCCATGTTAGCCATGCTAGTCTCAAACTCCTGACCTCAGGTGATCCATCTGCCTTGGCCCCCCAAAGTGCTGGAATTATAGGCGTGAGCCACTGACCTAGCCTGTAATGTTACTTTTAAAAATCAGTAACACCACCAAGAGAAATGAGAAATTTACTATCAAGAAGTCTTACCTCGATTGTCATCTTGAAGATGATTTTTAAATTTGTTTTCATGTTCCAAAATTTGTTGTTGAATCCTATGCATAAACAAATTACTATTTTAATAGCGACATGAAAAATATTTACCAAACATACTAAATTCTTAAAGCATTTCAGACAATATCAGAGCTAATATCAGAACTCTAATGTCCCATACACTTTAAAATTTGAAGCTCTATAAACTTATTAGGCTTCTAATTAAAGAAGAAAAACATGAAGTACTCATTCTCTGAGAGAAGCATAGCTCAGTAAATAAATTCTAGTCAGCTTAAGAGCCTGGAAAGTGTCCTGCACTCAGAATAAGTCCTCGTTCTGTCACCAATAGACATTTTGTTTTCAGACTGGTTGCTTCTCTTAGTTCCATGGCTTCTTCTAAACAACAAGGATTTCACTACCTTACTTCTCTAAGTTGCCAGGAGAATGTAATGAGATAACATGTTTAAATGCTCAGAAAAATAGTAAAGCAATTGAATAATTTATTCTCGAACTGTATTGCTGAAACAATTTAGGAATCTCAAATAAAACCTGATGGGTATTTCCTCACAGGTTCTCATATTTGAATGTCACAGTTTTCAGAAAATGTTACCACGTGCTAATTTTGGTTATTAGTTCCACTCATCGTGGCTTGTAGTTCAGAGCATTTTAGCTAATTTATAACTTGTAACTAAATTTATATGTAAATATATTATTATCTTATTAAAAAGGATTACCTAATTGTCCCCTATTACTGAGCTCATCAATCACACCAAGGCCAGAAAACTAATAGAGGTCAAACCCTGGCTTGGACAACTACCATTCCTGCTCTACCTCCTCAAACTCTGAGCCAGCAGATCTCTGCTGGAGGGCTGCATCTTCTTGGTCCTCTCCAGCTGACACACAAGACAAAACCCTGCTTGTATTGTTTCTCATTTCCGTGAAAGAGGTGCACGTTGATGGTTCCTCATTTCCAAGTCATGTGCTAACAACATATTTGCATGTAACATCCCATATGTTACTCAGCTCTGTTCTCATTTCACAGATCACCTCACAGGATGTAATGATAACAAAAGCAATTTCAACATGGGGTGTCTCCTGTTTTGGTTTGACTCACACTGTTTCCTTGGAGCTAGTTAACAAATAGTTAAATGACCTTGCCAAATAGGGAATGCTTTATGAATTTGTGTGCCATCCTTAGGCAGCAGACATGCTTATCTGATCTGTATTGATCCAATTTTAGAATCTGTGCTGCTGAAACTAGTATAAAGCCCTGTTTTACACATGGTTACTCATGAGTCATGGATGAGACTCAACCCTGTTAAATCCAAATTACCCACTTTAGATACAGAGAATTCTGTTGAATGACTTCCTGTGAGGTAGAATTTTAAAATATTTTTAACATTTGAGGTAGAGATGCCAGTAGCCTGAGAGATTTTCATTATCATGGAAACAGATTACTTGATGGGCCGACTGCAAGTTGGTACCGACTACTCTATTGAAGGATAATGTGGAGCCTTCTGCTGTCCAACAGAAGCTGCTACACAGGACATAAAAAAGCCCTAAGGTACAGATGTGACGACAAAAGGGAAAGGGAACTCTGATTTCTTCCTGACTGTTGAGTACAGTCCCAACTAATATTTGCTAGAGAAAAGATGAACACAGGTCTCAAAGGTTAACTTACCATGAAGGTCTAGGGTAAGCCTAGCTAAGAGGTGGGCTACACATAAGGTTTTTAGTGTTGGGGGAGGGTCCATTGACTCACTATGTGTGTGTGGAAAGGCAGGAGTCCTTGCTGCCAGAGCAGGGTGCTGGGAACAATGGCTGAGCATATGTACATGAACTAAAAAACACCGTAGCTGTGAACTCTGTGTGTGAGTCACCATGAAGACTCAGTGATCTGAATCAGTAAAGGCATCCTGGTGGCAAAGGTCGATCATTAGCAGATTGCAGGACCAGTTACAATGGCAGCAGCAATACAGCAAGTGAATAAATGGAAACAACAGAATGTTAGAATAGCCTTTCCCCTTCTTCTTCCGACTTGTAAAGCAAGATTGTCTTCCTTGGACTTAGGGAACCCCTTAGCTTTCTAAAACATTCAAAGGAGGAAGGCATAGGGCATAGCCCCAGGGGACAATACAAGATTTTCTGCTAAACTGGACATTTCGAGTCCCAATAACCAATTAGAAAAGTCAGGCCAGGCATGGTGGCTGGCAGTTTGGGAGGGGGAGGCAGGAGAATCACTTGAGCTCAGGAACATGAAAAACATAGTGAGACCTTGTCAAAGAAAAGAAAAAAAGAAAAGAAAAAAGGAAAGAAAGAAGGAAAAGATGTGACACTATTTATATCTCACATATAAAAGTTATACTTGGAATAAAATGAACAACATTGAGATCTCTAGGGATACAGACCTTTAAAAGTCCTGAAAGAATCTTGCACTCACTGCTACTTCTAACTAGCCTAGCTTTCTGTTTGATTTCTGGCTAAAAAGTGGACTAACCCATTGCCATTCCAAACGACTTCAACCAAACTATGAACTGTCATCTAATGTATAAGATGCAATATTTGCCATTATTTTGAACCTTAATTTAGTATTAACTGGTCTTTTAAGGCAAGCACTTACCTTATCAAATCACAACAAACAGCATAATCTTCTGCTGTTTGTCCAAACACATCCTGAGAAAAGACACTAATATTTTCTTCAAGGAGAAGGCTGACTATACTTGGCAAGTTATGATGTGTGGCAAGCATGAGGGCTGTTCTGAAATAATAAAGAAATCACTCCACTCAAGAACTGGAATAAAGATATTTAATCAGCAAATTTGATACACTTTACCAATTTACTACCTTGCCTGTCAGTGTAGACACAATAACAGCTTACATGCTCTAGCTTATGTCTATCAGCATCTTGGGTGCTCAAGTGTTCATCTTTGAAAATTGCCACCAAGGCTTAAAGGCAGGGACAACGAGGAAGCCTCTTGTCCCCCTGGGGTATGACATGATACAAGTTGCTAACTTATTGTCCTTTGACGGCCAAGAAACGATGCTGAGGTCACTTATCTAAAGTAGGCAAAGATTTAAAGGAAAATTTCCCCATTGCTTTCCTAGTCTGATAGATTGTAATTCAAAGTCAGCAAGGGGTCAGACAAATAAGAGCCATCAGCAGGTGGAAAACGATGATGATAATGATGATCCTGGTAATAGCAGTGGTTGTAAACTGAAAGTTAAAGTCTGCACTTTATAGAATTAATAAACTAGAAAACCCTGTTAGCTAATATAAGATTACAGGACCAAAAACATCAGATTAAAGGTAAGAGTCTATCAGAGAAGACGAATCCTATTATATACTGTTTTTTATGTTGCTTGGTCCAAATAATTGCTTTTCTACCTGATTATTCATGTTATTTTTCACTGTATGCCAACAATTACAAGTTAATCTTTTTATTAATATTTCTCACTTGCGTGACTGTTACCACTCTAGAACACTCAGCTTTTTATTTAAAAAAAAAAAAAAAAAAAAAGAACGACCGTACCTTCTGAAATTGTCAACAGCGTGTACATTTGCCTGGTTGTTCACTAAAAACGTCACCATTTGCTGCTTCTTGCAAGTTATAGCAAATAAAAGTGGCGTGTTTCCCTCCTGTAAGAAAGCAAAGTGATTTATAATGCACAAAATTACATATTTCTCAACTGAACTAAAATCTTCTATAAGATGCTATGAACTTAAACATACAATAAAGAAAGTAAATGCAAAGCAGTCCCTTTGTTCTCCCTCCTCTGTGCTTTCCCACACACTGCCCTGCAAACACCCCTTTCTGCCTCCCCACATGAACTTTGGTCATCTCCGAAACTCGCTTTATTTACCAGTCCCATAAATCATTGCTTCTCTCACCGCATTTAGCACGGTATATTGTAATTATGTTATTGTTTCCCACTGAAACCTAAGAGCTTCTTGAGGGCAAGGGCTGTATCTTTTTTCTCTGTAACCCTAAAACCTAAGTTGTGGTAGCAAATGCTTTTAAGTTTTAAAAATAAATGAATGATCTAAATCATTATCTCTAGAGCAGTGTTTCTTAAACTATATTCCAAAGAATATTTGTTTTACCAGAAGTACTGTACCCAACAGAAAGAGTCCATGATCATCTGCATTTCAGAAGTATTACAAAACTGTATTGTATGTCCAACAATCAAGAAATCTCTTGAACTTTGCCTAATCCAACTCTGACAATACTTTCTGTGGCAAACGTTAACATTTTAGGAACTAGACTTTCGGGGATACAATTGCCAGAGCTTCCCCAAACAGGCTGAGGTTCCTCTGGGTGGCACACACTTGCTCAATTCACTTCTACCAATGGTGTCGGGATCCCAGATGCCAATGTCGGGCCCTCCTGATCTGAATGGATCACTAAAGAAATAAGCTCTGAATTAAGAGAGATTGGCTTCAAATGCACTTATCTTCCTTATTATTAAACAGTTCATGAGTTTTCTCCTAATACAAGAGGATAGATTTTTATCTTAACTGACAAAAAGCTCAGCATGTTCTGTGTAAGAGAAGCAGGTTAAAAATTTTTGAAAATAAGTCTGGGTGCAGTGGCTCATGCCTGCAATCCCAGCACTTTGGGAGGCTGAGGTGGGTGGATCACCTGAGGTCAGGAGTTCGAGACCAGCTGGCCAACATGGTAAAACCATGTCTCTACTAAAAATACAAAAATTAGCTAGGCATAATGGCACACGCCTATAGTCTCAGCTACTTCAGAGGCTGAGGCAGGAGAATCACTTGAACCTGGGAGATGGAGGTTGCAGTGAGCCAAGATCATGCCATTGCACTCCAGCCTGGACAACAAGAGCAAATTCCTTCTCAAAAAAAAATTTATTCTTAACTATAGTGATAATTCTGGAACCCTAATGCAACTTTACTTTTTAACTTTTTAAATCCATTTGTATTGGTTTCCATTTACACTGCTATTTAACATTATTTTTTTACTTTAGGCAAAATATAAATCAGAAACAAAAATACAAAGGCTTATCAATAAAAGTTCAAATACTGATGTATATGGCTTATTTCTGGCATAATAAAAGGCAATAAGTCACTTGTCTTTTAAGGGACATTGCTGGAAAGAAATATATAATGTCTGGAATATTCATAAACTATCCAACTCTCACCAGGAATAATCTAAAAAGGCTTTTAGGCATTCTTATGAGCAGATGACTATTTGTGGCATATATAGAGAAAAAGAGTTAAAAAAAAACCTTCTGAATTCTAAAATTCAACCTCATAATTGAGGGATTTATATAAACTATAAATTATATATTATAAACCAATATACACTGTCTTGAAAACCTTGAAATCTTTATGAAAATAGACTATAAAACAGGAGTTGTGAACTTGAATACTTCTAGGAATGAAGGAGGTTACCTAAGTAAGCAAAGGACTTGGGTGGGCACAGTAGCAAACTAGAGAATACGTGCCTCCTGTGCAGGGCAGCCTCTACGCAGCGGACCAGACAGTGACGGGGCTCAAGGGACACCAGATTTGATTCTTTTTTTTTTTTTTTTTTTTTTTTTTTTTTTT